CTACTATCAATCGCTAATAAATCTCTTGACTAATAAAGTGCTCTAGTGGTAATTGTTTCCTATGCTTAGTTTTGTCACTCAACTTCAAAATCAATGTCGTTCTCTTTTACTATAGATGTTTCCTATGTCTAGAAGCAATGATTTGGCAAAGAATTAGTTTTTATTCTCATAGTAGCTGAGTTTTAAGCAGTAGAATTATTTCCAAGGAATCTTCTATTATTGCTTTAAGCATAATCTTTCTCTTGACAGGATGTAAGCGTTTTTCTTCTCCAATTACAGGGTGGTTGTGAACCATCTGGGCATATACTCATGCTAGCACATGTGATCTATTCCCCTTCTTGTGAATCTGCTGTACCTTCTGTTTAATCAAATAGAGAAACTGCCTGTTTACATTATTTGACGCTGGGGGCTTCTGTAGTGCTGATAGTAGTGATAGTTGTAGATTATGTTGAAATTATAGTTGAAGTTTAAGATATTGGAGGTGGACTCGTTGGAGAATCAGTTATTGAAATACTATCGGTTGTTGAAGTGACTTAAGTAGACGCGGATGTCTAACTTTCTGTAGGTCTAGCTGTTGTAATTGTTGATGAGACTTTAGTAGTTGTTTATGATATGATTGTACTATAAAGGTTCATTACATATAAGCAGTAGCTAAGTATCTTACGTTGATTCAACAGATGAAGTTGTTGTTTCGTCTGGTAATGTTGTGGTTTGAGATACAAATGTTATTATCTCATAATCATATTCTGCATCCGAAATCTTCTTAACTGAAAATCCATATCCCCACTCAATATAGCAATCCAAAGTGCAACTATGGCAAAATAAGAAATAGAAGCTTACCCATCATTACTAACATGATTCCTGTCTAGACATTTTGTTCCAACAAATAAGCAGGTCCTGTAGCAATGAGATTTTTCTTATAGTTTTGAGACACAAGACCATCCCATCTCTACGTTACAATTGAAATCACAGCTATAAAGTTATATATAAACAGTAAATACCCAGTTTCTTGAGTTGTGAGACCATTATCGCATTGCTCGTACTCTGATAATACTCCATCCTTTATACAGTCACTATTATATTTAGTAGGCGGTTCGATCCACCACCAAGGAGAGGGACTCGGCTAGTAATTTTAATAATCCTTGTTGAAGCAATAGAAATCATTCTTATCATCTTTGAATTCTTTATAGCAGCTCCAAAGTGGATCCACTTTGCATTGATTCGAGCATCTATAAGCTTATTAGCATTAATAAATTATACCCATCGCCATTATCGATATTGTGATCATAGCAATGCTACACAGTGAGGGTATTTTAACTACAATCATTGAGCGATCCAAATGATTTCTGTCCAGGTGATCCGTAGTGCATTACTCCAGTAGCAAGTCGGCAGTATTCATTGCAACTTTGGATAAATTAATGAAAGATATATGATTACATTGCTGAATTCACGTCTCCGTCATCACATTCTTCACCGAATTCTAGTCTGCCGTTTTTACATGCAGCTTCAAACATTGTCAGTAAGGTATTCTAAATATCATTCGGTTAAAACTCAAGTAAGGGGATTTATCAGGAAAATTTTGCAATGACTGGTATCTATGATGTGGCAGTTGTCTAGGGAACTATGGTAGTACTCGTGATAGGAGATGCGGATGTCTTACTTTCTGTAGGTCTAGCAGTTGTAATTGTTGATGGGACTTTAGTTGTTGTTTATGATATGATAGAACTAAAAAGGCTCATTACACATAAGCATTAGCTAAGTATCTTACGTTGATTCAACTAATGAAGTTGTTGTTTCATATGGTAATGTTGTAGTTTGAGAGACAAATGTTATTATCTCATAATCATATTCTGCATCCGAAATCTTCTTAACTGAAA